TTGGCACATCAGTCCAGAGGTACAATCAGAAAGAGGGTCTCCAAGTCAGCAAGGAGGCAACTATGTCCAGGTTTAATCCACACCCAGAATTCCTCCCTTCTTGTCCTCTAAGACGCATGACAGTCCTCTTCCTCCAGCTCCTGTGCCAGCCCCACTCCCTAGCTTTCTGTTCTCTGTGCTGACACCAATCCTCCTGGCCACAGGGGCCCCTGCTATTGCATCAGCAGCCATCAACAAGGAGGCACCAGCCTCCCCTCAGTGCTAAAGTCTAGGTTCAGGCCACAGAGCTAACATTCTGTTCTCAGTTATCAACATTTGTTCTGTGTTTGATACTAATTCAGCTACTTCTTGAGTGCCTGCCATGTAGCAGGCACTATGTGGGTGTCCTCAGGAAACTTACAAACTAACGCGGAGAACTAAACTCTATATCTAAACTAAACCAGGCTATTTCCTCTTCATCACTGGCTTCTAAGCTTGAATTGTGGTGGGGAGAAAAAGATGACGTGGAATAAATAAATATATAACAAAGTAAATAAATATTTATTTATTTTTTTACAAAACAAGAGAGTTGAAGGAAGCAAACGTCTCCAATCCCACCCTCCCTGCTCTGCGCTCTGGACTGTGGGAAAACAAAGAAGCAGGACATGCTGCTGTTACGCCCAGACTTCGTGATCCCCAAGGACCACCAGGGAGCCGAGTCCGATGCAATAAACAAAAGAGCCTTTTCCATGCTAGCATGGGCCCCCCCACTCATGCCGGCAGCATGGCGGAAGAGAGAGAATTTCTTCCAGTCCAGGGGTTTTACTCCGGTCGATGGTGATGTCACTGCCTCGGCTAATCCTGATTGGTTGGGTGAGGGCTAGGGATAACTCCGCCCTGCGGGGCGGAGTCGGGAGCTCATCCTTGCCCCGCCCTGCTCTCTCACTGCCAGCCTTGATCACCTCCCCAGTGGAGTTGGAGGTCAAGAAATCCTATCTAACGAAGAGGGAATATGCTAATTGACCCTCATATCATTGCAAAGATGGCGGTGCTCACAGCCAATAAGGAGGAAATATGCTAATTGAATGTCCCGCCCTCAAAGATGGTAGCACCCATAGCCAATAAAAAGGGAATAGCTAATTGAATGCCCTGTCCTCAAAGATGGTGGCACCCACAGCCATAAGATGGCAGCACCCAGTCCCCTCAGCCCCGCCAGGGGGGCTGGCACACTGCAAGGCCACAGGCCCTGCAGCTCCAAGCCTGCCTCCAGAGGCCCCCAGTCCCCTCAGCCCCCCAGCCATTCAGGGCCAGCCCGAGGCACAGGAAAGCCTCGGATGTCAGCTGCCCAACCACCCAGGGCTGGCTGAGGCTTGCACTGCCAGGAGTGGCAGCAGCAGAGGTGTGATGGGCTGTCACCTTTCCTGATCGCCAGGTCCCCTCCCACCCCTGAGGACTCCCAGACTGAGAGGGGGCAGGCCGGGCTGAGGAAACCACCACCCACCCCACCCCCCGCTCCAGTGCATGAATTTTCATGCACCAAGCCTCTAGGAAACGCATAAAAAGTTAAGTGGTGATGATGATAAAATACTGGATAATATAAGAAATGTCACTGAGCCCTTGCCACTTATCAGCAAAGTGTTGAGGGCTGAAGCTAGTACTCAGCCTTTTGTTGCTTCTCCCTTCTTCTAGACCCTACTCTTGTCTGACTCAGCTCAGTTGTCACCTCCCCCAGGAAGAATTTCTGAAACAGTTTCCTGCCTCATTGTGTACACACATACACACACACACACACACACTCACACAGAGTCTCCTCTCAGCCCAGATTAGTCTCCCCTCCATGTTTCTTAAAATCTTTGCAGAGGTCTATTGCTGTACTTACCATCTTTTTAAAGATAAGTGTCTTTCCCACAGTTCACAGTAGAGGCCGTGGGTTTCTTAAGGCCAGAGAGTGGATTCTCTGATGCATCCTCCTTCAAACCTCCTCATCAAAGGTGCAGTGTGGAACCTCTGTCCCAGGAAGATGAGCACCCTCACTCCTTCCACAGGGGTCAGCCCTGCATGACCACCTGAAGGCTCTCTCTCCCCAAGTAAGTCTCCTGCACATCAAATCCCATTTTAGCATCTGCTTCTTAGTAACGTAACACATTATTATAAGGAATTGCTTTGACTGCCATCCTATATATTATAATAAAAGGCTAATATGCAAATTGTTCCCTCTACCAGGACTTCGACCAGGGAGATGGCAGGAGAACTAAATTCTATATCCCCAAGCTATTTCCTCTTCCCCCGGCCAACCTCCCCCCTGATCAGCCCTCGCACCCCAATCCAGGGTGGGGCTGGGCAGTCAACCTTCTGTGTCCCCTTCCCCTGGCCGGCCCTGCCCGATTTGCTGTCATTGGGGCAGGCTGGCCAGATCCCACCCATGCACGAATTTGTGCACCAGACCTCTAGTATTGATACATTAAATAGGAGTTTAAAGATTTAGAATATTGGTTTATTTGGTTGATGCTATAAGCTCAATGACCCAAACCTTTGGGTACTGAAATATTTAATTTTGCATTTATTAAAAGTATGACTGAAAAATTTGCAAACATTGTCCCATTACGATACAGTGTTCTTGTTAACATTACAAAGCACACAGATATAACTAGGACACTTCCTTCCTGTCCTCCTTCCTTCACTGGAGGGTAACAGAGTAGTGGTTAAAATATCAGCTCTCAGACTATCTGAAAACAAATCAAATCACAACTCAACCACTCAGTGGCTCTACGGCCTTTGGCAAATCACGTAAGCCCTTTAAACCCCTGTTTCTAATCTGTAAAGTAGGATGGTCTTCTTCATCTTTAATGTGAATTTGAGAAATAATACCCATGCCCAGCCCTTTGGGGCATCGACCTATGAACCAGGAGGTCACAGTTCCATTCCCAGTCAGGGCACATGCCTAGGTTGCAGGCTCCAGGGTCCAAGCAGGAGGCAGCCAGTCAATGGTGGTCTCTCATCATTGATGTTTCTGTCTCTCCCTCTCCCTTCCTCTCTGAAATCAGTTTTAAAAAATTAAAATAAATAAGTAATAAAAATAATGCCCATCACATAAGATTGTTTTGTGAATTGGTGAATTAATTACTGGTGCTTTGTGTAATAAAATGACGATTATTATGGATTTAAAAGCACTCTATAAACTAGAAAACCTTATGGGGGGATTTCTTTTCTCTAAGGGAAATAATAAGCATCAGCCCTTGCTTTGTTTGCAAAACGGAGGTTACCTCACGTCAGGGAGAAAGCAGAGGGCCTACTTCTGGCATTGTTTCTGATTTATCAGCACAGGACTTGATGTTAGAAAACAAACGAGCCATTCCTGCAGGCAGAGACATTTTGGTTAAAAACATTTTCCCACCGAAACCGGTTTGGCTCAATGGATAGAGCTTAGGTCTGTGAACTGAAGGGTCCCAGGTTCGATTCCTGTCAAGGGCATATACATTGGTTGCGGGCACACCCCCAGAGTATGCAAGAGGCAGCTGGTGGGTGTTTCTCTCTCATGGATGTTTCTAGCTCTCTATCCCTCTCTGTAAAAAATCATTAAAATATTTTTAATAAATAAACAAACAAACAAACAAACAAATAACATTTTTCCCTTTTGAAACTCTTCCTAAGCGTTCCCAAAAATAAGCCAGAAAAGCTGCTGCCTTGGTACCTAGCCCTTGGTGATATCTGGTCACCTCTCTTTTCCCCCTCGGGGAGCGTGTACGGGGTTGGGACAGCGACCTGAGCTTCCAAGCCCACAACCTGGAAATACCTGGAGCTGCAGGGCGGGGGAGAGGCATGTCCGGAGGAGAGGCCTCCGCCGCTGGGAGGCGCCCCGGCCACCCGCGCTGCGCGGCCGGAGGTGCCAGCGGGCTGCGTGCCGCCCCCAGAGCCCGCGCCGCGCAGGTGGACGCTCAGGCCCCGGCTCAGGTGAGACCCCGGGACGCGCATGCTCCACTCTCGGGGTGCGGGGCGCGCAGACTCCCCTCTGGGGTTGCAGGACTCTGCGTGCGTCCGCGTGACGCGGCGTGTGCCCCGCCCGGCGCGCCCTGCAGGAAGAGGCGCCGAACTACAGCCCCCAGGGCGGGGGCGGGCGGGCGGGCGGCCCGCGGGGATAAAGAGCGGCTGCAGCAACTGACAGCCACGGTCCCGGCCACGGCGAGGGAGGCGGGCCGGCGTCTCGGGTGAGCGGACCCGCGCGGGCGCGGATGGACGGGGACGGAGAGGCCACCGGGGATGCGAGGAGGAGTGCGCAGGGGACGGGCTCCCTGGTGGGCGAGGAGGTGCGGGCCCCAGGGAGAGGGGAAGGCGGGGAGACTGGGAAGCGGGGCCAGAGGGAGGGGGAAGGCGACAGACACCCTCCGGCCTAAAGCGAGTCGGGAGATGGGGGCGAGGGACCCCTGGATTCCTTCCAGATCTATTTGTCAAAATGACCAGCATCAGCGACTGAGCAGAAGAGAGATGAGCGATTGACTTGGATACAATCTCTTTCATTTTATGGGAAGTGGGTCGTATTTCTGGGTTTTGGTTTTATAGTTTTGTTTTGTTTCTCTCTGTTTCTTCCTCTCCAAGTATTTCTCTGTCAAGTCATTCTTCTTACCCAGAGCTACCCTCCCTTCCTTCCTTTATTCTTTTCTTCCTTCCTCCCTCCCTTCCTTTTTCTTTCTCTCTTACTGTTTTTCTTTCTTTCCCTCCCTACTTCTTCCTTAATTTTTTTTTTTTTTAACTTTGCCCTTTTCAGAAAATTTGACTAAGGTAACCTGAATTATTTGCGCTAAGAATTCTTGTCTGTGGATAGAGGCATAAAATTTCAAAAGTAATATTACCCTCCCCAATGTTTTGAGTAATAACATTCTAGATGCACACTAAACCTTAAGCTGGTGAACATCCTAACCATTTGCTTTGGATACAAGCTATAGAGAATTTCAAAGCATAACATTACCAAGTTTATTTAAACCTCAAATTGACAAAATATCCATGCTTCTCCAGTTACAGCTGCCATGATCTTTTACCTATTAAGGTAAGAAACATGAGTTTATTTGAGCCAAACTGCTGACAATTGCCAGGAAGCAGAATCTCAGCGGATTGAGAGAATGCTCTGAGAATGGCAGTTTTATACATTACAATCAAAAGAGGAGACATAAGAGGATTACACAAAATCCATTGGTGATAGACTAGGGAGGTGGGAGAAAGCAAAGTGGGGAGACTTCTGGGATTGGATAAAAAGTAAAATGATAGCCGAAGCCGGTTTGGCTCAGCGGTAGAGCGTCGGTCTGCAGACTGAAAGGTCCCAAGTTCAATTCCTGTCAAGGGCATGTACCTTGGTTGCGGGCACATCCCCAGTAGGGGGTGTGCAAGAGGCAGCTGGTCGATGTTTCTCTCTCATCGACGTTTCTAGCTCTCTAGCTCTCTCCCTTCCTCTCTGTAAAAAATCAATAAAATATATTTTTAAAAAAAGTAAAATGATAGACACACACTTCTTTTACTGAGGTGATTAACAGTCAGCAATTAACAATAACAATGTGGGGATTTGTGTTCTCATGAGAGCATTATCTGTGGCTTGAGGGTCTGGAAAAAAGGAAAGCGATTTTGGCATCCCAGTGTTAAGCTGTCATAGATGCAAAAATACAATAGGCCCCAGTAAAGGAAAGATTGACCTTGGTCAGGGAAGATGCCGGCCTATGCCGTGACTACCCACCATAAACTGCTTTTTCGTTTAAAAAGTTTTCATTTCAGACCAACTTTGGGTCTCTGAGTTGGCAAGGCCACCCTGAGCTATAATAGTCAGGTTAGCACATGCCTCTTTATCCACAGCCCCATCCCTTCCTGTAGGAGTTTCACGGTTCACAAAGTCAGCAAACTTTGCTCTTCGGTGGCTTACCGTTTAGAAGAGAAGCCCAAACTACCCGGCGAATAACTCTGACGTAAGGCTTTTAATTAAAAAGCCGTTGTTTGGGGGAAATTCTAAGGGTTGTGAGATTACTTTCATCTTAGGGGAATCAGGGAATGTCCCCTAGCTTTTAAAAAGCTGGCTAGGCTGAACGGGCCGAAGTGGGAGATGATGGCATTCCAGTTAGAACAACCACGGAGAAAGGCCAGCAGGCCGGACAAGAGAAGGGAGGTAGCAACAGGGACCAGCTGGGCTAGCGTACTTGCAGGCATGAAGAGATCTACAAAGACCCGGGCCAGGGTGACTTCTAAGAGTGCCAGACACATAGTAAGTACAAGTTCAGCCTCCTCCATGAAGTCTTATCTGATGGCTCTAGGACATTAGCAAGTACTATCAGGTTTGGTATTTATTTCCTGAAAGCCAGGATGGAAAGTTATTGGCAAAGGCAAGGTCAGAAATGTCCATACTCCTGGGAGGTTAATCTGGCAGCCTGTGAAAGAAGATAGAGGGAGGTTAGGACTGTGGTTCCCAACTCTCATTCCATTCCTGCATGCTTTGAAAGTTTTAACCAATCAGGTGTGTGTGTGTGTGTGTGGTGTGTTGCCTGTCTGAGCTTCAGACCATCATAAGAGTATCAGTGTAACTGCCCTAGGCATGAAATATTATAGATGCAGCCAAAAGCTCAAGAGCCTGGAAGTCTTGTGTGAACAGCCTAGTACTGTTGGATTGAGGAGACTCTCCGAGCTGAACCCAGCTCTTGAGACTCTTATCACTTGAACTTTCTTGAGCCCCTAAGGGCCTCTCGGACCTGGGTTGCACCCATTGGTGTAGATAAGAGGTAACAAAGGGCAAGTTAGGAGGGGGGTTTTTAGGGGAGAGGGAAGGAATGCAGGAAAGAAGATAACAGAATTGCAATGACTTAGCCCCTGAATCAGCTAGGGCTGGGGAGGAGGTACCTGTAGAGCTGGGATGACTGGAAAGAGCTGGTAAGGGAATAATGATAGTACTTGCTAATGTCCTAGAGCCATCAGACAAGTCTTCATGGAGGAGGCTGAACTTGTACTTACTATGTGTCTGGCACTCTTAGAAGTCATCATTCAGTTAAAACTGGGACACTTCATTCAATCAACCAGAAAGTCATCAATTTTTCACTGGACACGGGTGTCTGCAGAACACTGAGAAGGAAAAGCAAAGCAAATGGAGTGTATTCCTGGTCCTGGGGAGCACGGTCTAGAGGGGGAAAGGTGAATAAACACTTGTGATGTGGTTTACTAGAAGTAGGAAAACAGGACCTAATGGTCAAGATTTGAATCTGAAAGGATAGTTAGGTAAATCAGGTAAATCCGAAGATAAGCTACAGAGATTATAACTGAAGCCTTCAAACTATAAGAGCTGATTCTTGTTTTACAGAATGAAGATAAAGAGATAAAAATGTCCCTGTTCCCCTAACCATATTTCAACTTAAATTATAGTAATTCTTTATATATTTGAGCTCCCTGAGTTAAGTTCATGGTCTTTCTTTGATCTCTTACTTTTTACACCTGTTCTTAGAGGTTTGACATTGTCTCAATCATCTAGATCATTGGTTGCCAACCAGTGGTCTGCAGACCACTGATAGTCCCTGAGGTCTGAAAGGTTGGCAACCGCTGGTTTAAGGAAACCTTTGCAGCAGCGGTTTGCCAACTGGTGGTTTGTGGACCACTGGTGATTCATGAGGTCCAAAAGGTTGGTGACCGCTCATCTAGATCAGTGGTCGGCAAACCGCGGCTCGAGAGTGACTCTTTGACCCCTTGAGTGTGGCTCTTCCACAAAATACCACGTGAGGATGTGCATGTACAGTGTGATTGAAACCTCGTGGCCCGTATGCAGAAGTCGGTTTTCAGCCTGGGCGAGTCCATTTTGAAGAAGTGGTTCTAACGCCGAGCCACACTCAAGGGGCCAAAGAGCCGCATGTGACTCTAGAGCCACGGTTTGCCGACCACTGAACTAGATAAAGTCGGAGGCCTTTTCAATGGTATGTTGCCGGGCCACTCTGTTCTCCTGACTTTTAAAAGATTAGTTTCCTCTCCTTTAGAATTAAATCTTGAAATTCTACATTCTGAAACCTGCTTTCTGTGTCCGCATACTTGTAAGCATTTTTTCACAGTTCTAAATGGTGAACGGACTTTGCCCAGGAGTTTTATCATTAATTGACATTCCTTGAAGAAGAGAGTAATTCTGTTTGTTGTTGTGTGTTTGTTGTTTTTTTTTTCAGCAGCTCAATGGCCTCCCAGAAGAAGAACCTTCAAGGTCTGGTTGCTGCAACCATCACGCCGATGACTGAGCATGGGTAACTACCATTTGGAACTTCAAGGGATCTGTTTTCACTCCACTGTGGGGGCCCTCACGGAAAATGACAGGTTCCTGAGTTGAGGAGCTGGGGATTAAGAAATTAAAGAAAAAAAGAGACCAAGACATAGAAATAGATTCAAGCTGGGACCCAGGTGGGAGGCTGTCACTGATGGAGAGACAATCAACACCCACCACAGACAACATTTATTTATTTCCAAAGGGGGGGTTAAGGTTAAAGAAGTTTTGGGTGTGCTATTCATTCCCTCATTCCTGGGATTTAGCATATAAACACCTGGGTGAGTCAAGGTCCTATTCATTCTTCATTCCAAATACATGGATAAAGATAAGAAATCAGTACTGATAACAGTCTCCACATTTTGGGGAAACTTGTTCCCAGGGCGTGGTTCTGCCTAGCCTTGAGTTCAGCTGATGATAATTAAAGGTCATCCATGTGCATTCCCAGAGAGCCCTCTACACTCCACCAAAATGGACTGATGTTCTCTGTATAACAGTCACTTCATCTGTGCACTTCTGTGGCACCATTGCCAAGTGGCATCTTCCATCAGATGTCCATTTGTACTGTCTCTGGCCCCAAGTCAGAGACGAGGTCTCTATATTTCAAGGAGTGCAGAAAGGCAGAAAAGATATAGCAGCTCTCTTTTCTCCCAGGGTCCATAACTCCACAATGAAAATTCTCCTTGGATTTTATCACAGCCTTGGGTTCTCAAAGAAGACCAGTGGAATTGGATGAGACTTCCATTTTAGCAGGATTTGACCTCAGACCTTGACCTGGCTCCTCTAGATCTTGTCTCTAGACATCTGCATGATTCCACCTCAGGCTGTTCATAGACAGGATGAAAGTGGAGAAGGTAGCTGTAAGAGGGATCCTGTAGGCATGTTTTCAGTCTCATTTCAACATTGGTTACATGTTGGGGAGCCTGCAGGAGTGAGAGGTAGCAACAGATGATTGCTGAGAAATCATTGGCCAAGCAAGTATTTTGACTTCCACATGAAGAGTATGGCCATCCATACTATTTTTCTTAGACTGTCAGATAATGGTCATGTGCCGTACATGTCCATACATGAAATATAACTTCTTCCTGGGACGTTGCCATTGAGGAAAAGGTGATTTCATCCACCTCTTGGATCTAAATGTTTTTGACATTTTAGAGAAATCAATCTGCCAAAGCCATCAGAATTCTGGTTTCTTTAAGCTTCTTTCTTCCTCTACAAGACATAAATGATTATGCCAAAACCGGTTTGGCTCAGTGGATAGAGTGTCGGTCTTCGGACTGAAGGGTCCCAGGTTCGATTCCGGTCAGGAGCATGTACGTTGGTTGCGGGCACATCCCTGGTAGGGGGTGTGCAAGAGGCAGCTGATTGATGATTCTCTCTCATCGATGTTTCTGACTCTCTATCCCTCTCCCTTCCTCTCTGTGAAAAATCAATAAAATATATTTTTTTAAAAAGATATAATAATTATGGAGTTATGTGTACTATGTGAGATTATCCATAGAAGAGTGCTTAGCATAGGATCAACATGCACTTAGATCCATAAGTTTGGACTCTTTTGTGGCATAAGACGGGGGTAAAAGGAAGATGAATTTAAGATATTTTTAAATAAGGCTCTTCTTACTTATTTTTGGTCTTCTGTAGCTGAATTTGTAAACACTAACCCTACCCCCTTTAAAGTAGATAAATCTTCTTTAACTTTTATTGTTATCAAAGTTGTCCATATTACAGTTTCCCTTTTAGATCATTGTGAATTTGAGAATTCCAGCTTCTGAGATTCATGAAAATTCACATCTTTAGCAGCATTTGGTTTTTTGGTGTTTTGTTTTTTTTTTTTCTTTCTCCCTTTCCACAAGTTCTAAGAAAGACTGAAGTCAGCTCCTTCTCATTGTGTCAGCTATTTGCTGGACAGATAAAGCAGAAGTCATGTAATTGCATGAGCAGGCAGAATTTATTTCCTGTTTGCAAACTCAAAGCACTACATCTGGTCTCAGCTACTTTAATCCTTCTAATCAGACCCGTTAGCCTAGAAGTGACTTTCTAACACAGTCTTGTTTATTTACCTGGGACCCATTGAGAGTGTCAGTGTGTTCTTCCTTCCTGTTCTGCTATTTTCCTGTGGCAGCAGGCCCCATGTATGCGAGATTACTAACCTAACTTTGCTCTGCTAGTTCCTTCTCCATTTCTCAAACACTTCTGGCCCTCCTGCCTCCACTTCACTATTTCCTCTTTTTTCATCAATTCAAGTCAATATAAGAATGTATTTTTTTTTTTTAAGAAACTTGAGAATTAAATTAGTACATTAAAAATGTATATAGCAACTTGGCCAGTGTGAGTCAGTGGTTGAGCATTGACCCATGAACCAGGAGGTCACACAGTTTCATCTCAGGTCAAGGTACATGTCTGGGTTGTGGGCATTAATGCAGGAGGCAGCCAATTGATGATTCCCTCTCACAGAGATGTTTCTTTTCCCTCTCAACCTCTCCCTTCGTCTCTCTGAATCAATAAAAACACATTTAAATAATAAAATGTACGTAGCGCATAGTAGGCACATAACTATGTTGGTTCCCTTTTCTCCCACCACCTGCTCCATCCAAACATTCCCATATAGAGGGAAAGCAGGTTTGGAGCACCCACCAGGAGCAGCTGGGTGTTAACTTACTTGCCCACAGGGAATCTACATTCTGACACGTTTCCAAGAGATGGGCAAAAGGAAGGATCACATGGAATCTCACACTGGACATTCTGCCTGTTGACTTGCCATTGTGGAGTTTTCCTACCTGATACTGTATACCATGGCCTCCATGATTCTTGGCTGAAAAAGAACTATTTATTCCCCTGCTTCCTTTTTCCTTCATGATTCTAAGTCATTCTCATGACCTAATCAACTCTCAGAATATGTTGGCAAAAAGAAACATGTTAAATAGATTGTTAACCTCCAGCATTGCCACCAACTAGCTGTTTGACCCTGGGGCCATCCTGTCACCTTTTAAAAGTTCCGTTTCATATTCTGTAAAGAGAGGAAGTCCAAACACATTATCTTGAAGGGCCATTCTAATTCTGGGAGTCTCTGATGCTATGTCATGGGGATATCTTGGTGATTCCCACTAAGTAAGAATGAATAAAATAGCAACTCTGGTTTCTCCTCCACACCATACATAGCCAAGTGAGCTTCCCCATAAACCAATGGAATCATGTCACTCTCCTCTTTAAAAATCCTTGAGTCTAAGCCTTGCAACTCATTTTATGATCCATGGACCATTTCGCTAACATCACGCAGGAACTTGCTAGAAATGCAGAATTGCAGATTCTGCTGCATAGGATCTGAATGAGCTGGGTGAAAGGTGAAAGCCTACACCCTCTGGGATGACAGAGGAAGTCCTGTACAGTCTACCCATTCTGCTGCACTTCCATTTCCCCCAGACACTTCATACCCTTCCTTCACGTTCTGTTCCCTCTGCCTGTTTCTACTGCATCCTCTCCTTCCTCCACTCCACTTGAACACTTCTTTCCATCTGTCAAAACCATCCTTTGGTGATTCTCCCTCATTTTCCCTAAAAAGAGTAGGAGGATCCCTCCCCTGTGATCCCACAGCACCCTGTCTGTGCACACCATTTTCCATCAGAATTACGTGTTTAGAGTAAGTATTACAGTAAACTGTTTGTCTCTTCCAGGAGGCTCTGCGTGACTTCACCGTATTCACTAGGCATTTCTCGAGTGCCAGGCAGTACAGAAGGGTGGAGCATGTATCTTATTTATCTTGGAATCTTTAGCATCTAGCACAGTGTGTGGTGAATTTTGGTCTTTCCTGAGTCAATGTACTACAGGGATGATTAATGCTGATGGTCAAGGAACAGAGGGAAGGGAGCTAACACTGATTGGCTAAATGCCGTGTGTCAGTCATGCTGGGCATTTTAATGTACATGTTCCAATTTAATCTTCACAACAAGTCTGTGACAGCTACCATTCCATTCCATACCATACCATACCATACACTGAACGAAACCAAGATCCCAAAGATCTTGCCCCCAGGCACATAGCCAGAAAGGGAAGTCTCTACCCAGCCCAACCCCTGTCTACTGATATTTCTACCCCGGAGTAAAAGATTTTTGCTTTTCTTCAGGCAAGCACAGTCATTAGAACAGAAAGTCCCTTTCAGATTGGCTACAATGTAAAGGAAAAACTTGTGTTTTCTTTCTCGAATGCCTTTGACTTCACCGAGGGAATCTTCACCACATTCTCAAGTAAAACAAAACCCATTACCCCAGTCAGAAAGGGCCTGGCCTGCTGGTGTCAGCGTTGTACAGATTACTGTCTTCTTGACACACGGTGTTTGGGAGACTTGTGACCCATGTGCCCAGATCATGCCCTGGCACGGTGGGGCTGCCATAATCCCTGCCCACATCTCTGCTGAAGGAGCTTCGAAGTAATCCAGTAGTTATACTGCCAAAAGCACACATACCTTCCATTGATTTCAAAGGCTGAAAAATATAGGTGAAAGGCAAAACACTTGGAATGTCACATCCCCCGATGCACATGCCAGATCATGCCCATTGTGAAAAGAGCCTGCCTGTCCTCTTGATTCTGTTTACACGGAGTCTTTCCTGTGCGTTATGTGCCGGGAGAGGAAATGCACAGGAACACAGATTTTTCTCCGAAAAGACATTTCAGAAAATTCTATTATCCTTATGCTGTAAGAGAAGAGATCGGTGCAGTCTATGTGTGGCTTCCTAGTTCACAACTCAGGGCCTTGATTTGTGGTTAGAAATAATCTCTCTTCTTACAGAGTTTGTAAGTAAATGAAATGTCTAAGAATAGAGCATTAGCTAAATTAATTTATGTCTATTCATACAATGAAATGCTGTGTAGCCAGTACAGTAACAAGAGTATCTGAAGAGGTGGGGAAATAGTCAATTTAGAAATGCTGCGAAAAAATATTACAATACTGTATAATATGCCTATATTCACTTAAGAAAATACTATGTTATACATTGGTGTACAGAAAACTGTCAAACTAATAAGAGTAATCATCTCCAGGGAGATCCTGAGTGGTTTATTTTTTTTCCTTTCTTACTGTGTGTATTTTCTAAAATACATGACATAGCTTCTGTAATAAGAAAAAAAAAGCTAAATACATTTATTTAAAATATAATCGTGGACCTAAGGCAAAGAATCTGAACCCATAGGAACTGAAATTAAGATATTAAATTGGAGTTAACACTAAGAATGACTCCAGGAAGCATGGGGTTGGTTCCGGGCCAGTCTCCCCCGAGACTATCCGTGAGCTGTGTTCTTGGGGCTCTCAGAGGATGAGAAGGTTCAGTAAAAAGCCGGCCCAGCTTTTTCAAGTGACCTGGCTGGCGCCCCCTCTCACCTCCATGAGCACCAAGCCCCAAACAGCTAGTGAGGAGAAGAATTCATTCTCTCTGTTTCCTTCTTTCTAGTGACTTCTTGTACCTGGCACAGTACCTGTAGCCATGAACATGAACCCAGATACCGTGGGGAGGTAGAGTTGGTGGGAAAGCAGGGAAGAGAGTCAAGTCCCCAGAGAGAATTATCATCCTGTTACTTCCCTAGCCCTGCGGTTCGGGTGCCCTTGTGACAAATATGGTAGCAGCTCGGGGTGATTTCACCGGGCTCTCTTGTGACTGGGGCCATGGCATCATGCCAAGGCCTTGGACTTGCATCTGCAGTCAGACAGGGACCTGAAGTCCCCGAGGTGAACAGGGGGCTCTGTGCCTTCATGCAGGTAGCCACTGCGCTCCCCAGCCATTGGTGCTGTATGGAAATGTAGGCCTGACTTTAACATCGTGAAAGTCAACAAAACTCATTTGGGGGCCATCCCTTTTCAACCTCTGACCTCTTTAAGGGGATTTAAAAATTCCAAAAGGCCTTAAGTCTCAGAACATGTTGGGTGACTCTGCCACTGCCCCAGAAATACCACATTAGGATCTCTCCTGAAGGCTAGAAGCATTTTATCAGAAGCAGCAAACTTTCTTGGAGGGTTACATCATCTGTCACCCATTGGCAGCCCTAACCTGAGTGGAACTGCTGTAGCCTGTCAACCATCCAGGCCTAAGAGGGGGGAGGTGAAGGGAGACACGTGTAAATGTTGAGCATCTAGGCTGTGCCTGGAGCAGACCAGGGGTTGCAAGGCATAAAAGACACCGTCAGGAAGTTCCTGCTGCAGCATGTGTAATTCATGTTTATTATAAAAGAGACTGTGGACTTGGCTGAGGGTGTGGGTACTTCTGGTTTTCCTCACTGTGGAGCAATAATAGCAGTAATGCGTGAGCGTTTCACTGGAGCCTGAAACAGGGCCAAACATCTGTGCTGGCCTGGTCGTTCGAGGCCCCGGTGGTGGTGGAGGTCTCTGCTGAATTTAGGGGTCCACTTTGGGGAGACACACACACACTCACACACACACACACACACACACACACACACACACACACACACACACACACTAACAGATGGAGTAAGTCAGTTTCTCTCTGTAAGGATTCCCGATAATGTAAACAAGCTCTCCAGCTTCCTTTCCCAGATGAGAAGGTATTAGATTAAATCGAAAGAAGGCACAGTGCCTACTAGGCCCGGCCCCGCTTCTCCTTGGTGAAAAAGACAGTGCCTCTGTCAGAGTCTTTGAGTTAGTGGTGGGACTGGGGAGGTAATAACACTTCGGTGAAAAGGTACAGGAGTCATTGTGTTTGAACCGTAACTCCAACACAGGCTATCGCCCATCCAGGTTCTTCCCAGTGTTCACTCTGTGACTCAGAAGTCCTCAGCTTCTGCTGGAGCTGTTCTGTGGCTGTTTGCATGAGTAGAAGGACATTACTGGTCAAAACCAAAAACAAAGCCCCTACTGATTGTTCGGCTGTCTCAGAGCTTATCCCAAGTGGGGAAGAGCTGATGAAAGCAGCAAGGAGCTGGGATAATGTAAAGATATGGTTCTAAGTGATCAGAAATACCCAAGGCACAGAGAGATTTCAAGAAGTTGAGCAGGTTAAGTTGGCCTAAATGAGGGTCCTGAGATGGACGGTCTAGGCAGATAACACACCCATCTTACCTTCTACTAAGAGCAACCTAAATTCATTCCTGTCATGCATTCAGGGAGCCTCCCTGCTTAGCAAATCTGAGAGGCCAGGATTTGGCATTTAAACAAGTGGGGCAGGGAGGGTTAAGGTAGTGACACCTGTACATTAGCCGTTGTGGGGGAGTATGCTCCCCTTGGAGGCACACCTGCTCCCGAGGGCAAGCAGGGGGCTGGCTGTCATTGGCATGTGGGCAGTGATTGTCCGTGAATTCCTTGTTTGGTCTCTCTTGTTCCCATTCCATTTGACAATACCCTTTGATGTCTTTGTTTTCTCTGTGCATCAGATTTATTTTTATTTTTTTAACATAAAGTACTAGTTGGCTACCATTTGCATTTTTAAAATATATTTTATTGATTTTTCTACAAAGAGGAAGGGAGAGGGATAGAGAGTTAGTAACATCAATGAGAGAGACATTGATCACCTTCCTCCTGCACACCTTCTACTGGGGATGTGCCCATAACCAAGGTACATGCTCTTGACTAGGATGGAACCTGGGGCCCTTCAGTCCAAAGACCGACGCTCTATCCACTGAGCCAAACCCGTTAGAGCGCCATTTGCATTTTTGTCAGTGGGGCCAGAGAATCCTAATTTAATTTTAACCTTATTCACATTTTCACAATATTTAACACAGACTTGCCCCACAATTCTCCTTTGTATTTTCGCTGTCTGGCCACCATCTGCCCCGCCTCTATTTTGATTGAGAACAGGTGGTTTTATATGGCTTGTGTTTGAGTCAGTTTCTAGATTTCATAATCAATATAATTTTGAGAAGAGCTCTTACTGCCTTAAGCATCAGCTTCCAAGGTCAGTACTTTGCAGCGTGCATGCAGATGGCATGGGATCTTGTTGCAATGCAGATTCTGACTGGGTAGGACTGGATGGGACCTGGGACTCTGCATTTCTAAGACTCCCTCAACTGCTGCTGTTCCATTGACCACACTGTGATAGGCAAAGTTCCTTTCCAGCTGATAATCCTCTTCAACTTCAAACTAGCAAATACATGTGGAGTTTTGCTGTCATTTGTTGTCAATTAAGTGCTAAAATTCTTAAATTTAGTAAGATTGAAATTTTCTATTTTGTAAGTCTAAGAAATAACTGCTTCTCACCACATAGAAAATGTCCTCATTTAACCATGCCCCCAAATGTCACTCTTCCCAAAAAGAACAAACGGTGATTCAGTAACTCCTTTTTGAATATTATTTGTGATGATCTTTTAATAATTAAATGTAAAGTCTTTGTTGATTCATAGTGTTTTGCTCACTTAAGTGAGGAACATGTGGCTGAGCAGAGAAATCACAAGACCAAAGAAAACAAAACAAACAAGAAAACAGGAATTATTCAGAGGAGGCTAGGGATTTCACAGTTGACTAGGAGGATTTTAAAAACTATTAACAACAGCCTGGCCGGCATGGCTCAGTGGTTAAGCGTTGATATGAACCAGGAGGTGATGGTCTGATCCCCAATGGGGGGCGTGCAGCAGGCAGCTGATCAATGATTCTCTCTCATCATTGATGTTTCTTTCTCTCTCTCTCTCTTTCTCTCTCTTCCTTCCTCTCTGAAATCAATAAAAATATATATTTTAAAAACCAATAAAAACTATTACCAACAGAGAGAAGGTGACAGACTTGGGGAACTGATTGAATAATATTCTAAAAAGACTAAATATACATTTTTTCCTTGTGTCTTTTAGAGAAATCAACCTTTCAGTCATTGGTCAGTACGTGGATTATCTTGTGGGAAAACAGGGAGTGAAGAATATTTTTGGTAAGTCATCTTCAGAGATCTCTCTACATAACTCTAGCTCAGTTCTTAGAAAGTAGCCAGGAGGTCACAGTGTCATTGTGTCATAGGCTATGAGTGAGCCTGGCTAAGCTATGTCAAATTTGTGAATTTGTAGACTCATCAATTTTAGACCTAAAAAGCACCTCAAAAGATTATCTCATTTAGTGGTGTGCCTTCACAACAGAAAAGGTATTGTTTTTACCGCCATTGGAAGAAAATCAATGGTTCAGGTATATTATTTAGGTTGCCCAATCCTATTCTGTCAAGAAGTGATAGTGGAATAACAAAACACAGGATTCTCTTTCGCTCTCTTTTTTAAAAATTTTTACTTATTGATTTTAGAGAGAAAGAAAAAGGGAGGAAGGGGGAGAGATACATTAATGTTTGTTGTTCCACTTATTTATGCTTTCAATGGTTGATTTTTGTACATGCCCTGCAGGGATCGAAACCCCAACATTGGTGTACTGGGACGATGCTCTAACCGACTGAGCCACCTGGCTAGGAAGCCCAGGCTTCTCTTTCATAAGAATGGCCTTTATTCTCTCTTCACCGAGACCTTTCCTATTGTATGTGTAAGAACGATCTAACTGAAGCACATAAAGGAATTACAGGTCTAGCGGTTACCCTCATTTATTCATAGGATAGAAATTCGAAAAATCAGACCCTGAACATGTTAAGCCTGACAAGTACATTTACTTGTGACTACCCTGCCCCCTGTGTTGTGTTCTGGGCCTCAGCCCCTTGGATAGAACACTACACCTTGGCCCCGAGCTGCTGCTCTACCAACAAGGTTCCTTTCAAAATTGGAGGCACTGTGGTCATGATCAGAGCAGGTTAAACTTCTGTGAAAAGGTGGTCAGGCCCCATGTCACAACCAAAACCTGATTACAGAACCACTCAGGGTCCCCCTCCAGCTGGAAGCAGTAGTGGGGAAGACAGATTCTTCCTCCTCAGAAGGCTCTAGGGAGCATGCGTGGAGTGTCTCAAACGCCAAGAGAGTGATAACAACCCTTCCCAACTTCCCCTGGCCTCCCACCCTCCTCTGTCCCAGCGGCAGCTGGTGTTTGGGAGAGCCAATGTCCTGCCATTTGCATCCTTTCTGGGACCCATGCAGAGATGGCTTTGCTAGAAGGGAAAGTTTTGGAATCATAGAGATCCGGATTCAAACTTCGATTAGTTAGTGATTCAGAGCCTCACATTTCATCTATAAATGGGAAGGATTATTTGTAATTGGCAGGGCTATTGTGAGAAGTGAATATAGCTGAAACCAGTTTGGCTCAGTGGATAGAGCGTCGGCCTGCGGACTGAAAGGTCCCGGGTTCGATTCCGGTCAAGGGCATGTACCTTGGTTGCGGGCACATCCCCAGTAGGGGGTGTGCAAGAGGCAGCTGGTCGATGATTCTCTCTCATTGATGTTTCTATCTCTCTATCCATCTCTCTTCCTCTCTGTAAAAAATCAATAAAATATATTAAAAAAGAAAAAAAGAAAAAAAAAAAAGAAGTGAATATAGAAGAGTGCTTGCTGCAGGAAATAGTAACATCCTGGTGCTTTCTTTTGAATAATTATAAAAAAGTAAGTTGTCCTAGCCCGGCTGAGATGGCTCAGTGGTTGAGCATCAACCTAAGAAGCAGAAGGTCACAGTTTGATTCCCGGTCAGGGCACATGCCCAGGTTGCAAGCTCTATTCCCAGTATGGGGCATGCAGGAGGCAACTGATCAATGATTCTCTCTTATCATTGATGTTTCTCTCTCTCTCTCTCTCTCTCTCTCTCTCTCTCTCTCTCTCTCTCTCTCTCTCTCCCTCCCTCCCTCCCTCCCTCCCTCCCTCCCTCCCTCCCTCCCTCCCTCCGCCTTCCTCTTTGAAATCAATTAAAATATATTTTAAAAAAGTAAGTTGTCCTTAAGTGCTCCCATGCCAAACTGCAGATAGCGGTCATGAGCTGACATCCCAGGACTGGAGGGTGTTGACAGCCTTGCCATTCAAGCCCAAATATCGAACTGGGTGCGTGTTGGAGATTTGCCTGAAACACGGGCAGTTATCCTTGTCTTTTTTCTCTATCCCTGATAGGCGTGACAAATTTGTCATTGTAAGTCAGAATTCACCTTCCTGCTACTTTTGACAAGGTGAAGAAGGAAAAAAGACTGAGTCTGAGGTGGAAAATAGAAAATGGCATTGTCCCTCCCTGAGTGGATCCTCTGCTGTTTCTCCCTGTTCCTCCCTCTTAAGCTGGGATTTCTGACCCTGCCCCCCACCCCACCCCCATTGTTGATTTGGATGAATGTGAAGTATTGGTTGGTCCCACTGACTGCCTCTTTGTTTGGAACAGTGAATGGTACCACGGGAGAAGGCCTGTCGCTGAGCATCTCAGAGCGCCGCCTCCTCGCGGAGGAGTGGGTGATAAAGGGGAGGAACAAGTGAGTGGCTCCACCCCGATAAGAACACTCATCCGTCAGTGCTGTGTCGCCAGCTGCTCTTCCATGATGACACAGCCTCTCTGTCTTCCAGTCCCAAGTCAGGCTCAAGGTCAGCTTGTGGGACAGTGAACAGGGACCTGAGGATCCTAGCACATGGATGAGGAACCCAGGCAGAGGAGTGCTCTTTTTTGTACATGCCTGGCTCTCAGAGATCCCACCCGGACACTGGAACCTGCCTCTCATCTATCTCCCAAGCCCTCCGCTTGGGTTACCTGGCCCTGGAGTAGGGCGGGGAAAGGGGAAAGATGGTGGTGACTGACTCTGCTGGGCTTCTGGCTCTTCTACTGAGAAACCCATACTTTAGGAAGGGAAGACATCTGCCCAGAACAAGGAGTTGGGTGGAATTTAGAGCTTAAGGAGAATAGTGAAGTTTGGAGTAGCCACTGCAGGGGAATTGGAAAGGCAAGTAAGGCAGGTCGACCAGCAGGCCTTTGGAACCTCCTTCTCCTGAATCGGAAATGACAAGTTTGTATTCCAGCCATACAGTGGCTTTCTCTAGCAGCATCTAGCACCAGGGTGGAGGGGAGCAGGAGATGGGTGATTGCTTTAACTTTAGCCAGTTAACAGGGACAAGGAGGTCATGCAATAAAGTTACAGGTAAGAGTCAAACAGGTCAGTCAGCTTCTTTTCTCCTTTCAAAAGTCTCATTATCTCTTAACAATGCAAACCCGATCATATCACATCCCATTTTAACCCAAGGCAGAACAACTCAGGAATCATTGCAGGATGCAGTGATTGGGCCTAAATGGAAATACAGTGTCTCCATCCCATGAGGATGGGGTCTGTCTCATTCAGAGTCCCTCAGGAGACTCGCGGGGACGCCTGGATTCACTGTGGGACTTTGTTAATTTCTATCCTGAGAAGACCAGCCTCTGTGGCCTCTTCCCCTGTGGCCACATGGTGCACTTCTAAAGATGAGCACTGGAGTCTCAGAAAAAAAGCCTCTTAGGGCCAAATTCTAGGGACTTACAAGATTGGAAAAAGCTTTTTACAGTAAATTCATTTCTCATATGGCTGGTTCCTGATTGTACTCTTTGAGGAACCTCTTTATTTCTATCTCCCACACACAAAAAAAAGAAAAGACCGGTTTGGCTCAGTGGATAGAGCGTCGGCTTGGGGACTGAAAGGTCCCGGGTTCGATTCCGGTCAAGGGCATGTACCTTGGTTGAGGGCATATCCCCAGTAGGGGGTGTTCAAGAGGCATCTGATAGATGACTCTCTCTCATCGATGTTTCTAACTCTCTATCTCTCCCCCTTCCTCTCTGTACAAAATCAATAAAATATATATATTTTTTAAAAGTACTCAAGTATTGATTAATTAGTTATTGGTTTCAAAACTCTTCTCAGTGAACCTTAAATTTTATTTTCTGGGCATTCTTTTTTTTTAAGTCCTGAATTAGATTAATTATAAATAGGCCACTATAGAATTTGATAGTCATGAGATTGAAATTAATCAGTTCTTGGCTAACTGTTAAAACCAGCACAAACCAAAATAGTGCAACCCCTCTATGTTGTCATAAACTTCAGATGATGCATCTGAAACCGTCTACACAACCAACGGGTCCAGGCTGCCTGTCACCAATTTAACAGAGACAAGGTTGAATTATACATGAGGATTTATTCCAATACTGTCAGCAGGATAGGAAAGCAGCCGGATATCCACAAAAAATCTGCTCTGCAGCCTCCCCAGAAGCCAGCTGCGTATATTGGGTAGGACAAAGGTTACATGGGGGAATTATAGGCATGGGGATGTAGGCAATGTGGGCTGAGGAGGGACTCCATTGTTATGGCAACAGGGTTGTTAATCTTTCTAAGATATTAGGCAGTTCTTGAATGAGAATGGACCACATTCCAAGGTTGACTCCCAGGTCCAAGATTGACTCCCAAGTCCCGGGGGCATGCAACTCCCAGGTTAGAATGTCCTTTCTTTAATCTGAACAAGGCAATCATGGTTAATAGAGCATGATTAATATTTCTTATAACTATAGTTAGTCCCCAATATTCTATTTTTGTTCCTAACATAATTATGCCTTCTCTTTTGCAGGTTGGATCAAGTGGTAATTCATGTAGGAGCCCTGAGCTTGAAAGAGTCCCAACAACTGGTATGTATGGGAGAGCCACTCTAGCAAATTAATCAACCCAAGGATTGGGTAGATAGAACTTCCAATCTATAGCCAGTGAATCAAAAGCACAGATGATAACCTGGGGTGGTGACTGGAATCTGAAGTGGGGTCAGGAGGCTGGTGGATTGAGCCCTCAACAGCTGGAATCCATGTAGAGCACGTCGGAGTTGAGTTGACTCGTAGGGTACCCAGCTAGTGTCGGAGGATTGCTTGTGGTGTGGGGAAACTCTCACATTTGTTCACATCAGAACTGTGACCAGATCCATAAGGGTCTTCTTTCTTCTCTTAAAGGCCCAACATGCAGCAGAAATAGGGGCGGATGGCATCGCTGTCATTGCACCTTTCTTTCTCAAGCCACGGGACAAAGGTAATTAGGTCTAAATGCACAGCACCTCATGCGGTCTGCTTCTTCTTGCCTTCATTCTCAATAGTTATATTTAACTCATGCATGTAAAGTTTTATAGGCTAGATGCATGACATTGAAATGGTACCACCATTCTCCAGAATAGTTGGCCTCCCAGGATCTTTAAAAGACTTCATGAAAGGATTTCAGTTCTTTTGCCAAGTTATCTGATTGGGTCAGCCACCAGGCTCAGGTTAACCTATAGGTGCCTGTGTTTAGATCAAGTGTCCACTCCTTGTATGAGTTGTGCAGAGTGTCAGAGTCCCATGGCAAAGTTTGGGACCATTACTTTTTAAAAAAGAAAGAGGAATATGAGTACTGAGCATTTTGAGACTACATGTTCTATACAAGGTTGAGAGAGTGATGAATTTGAAAAAGAAATTTCGCAGACACATCTAGTGTCTTCACATCAAGGTATTATTTTTTTCCTCTTCTCCAATGGTTTTCCTCAATTAAAGACCATTTGTGGTTTCCAAGTACCCTGAGTCTTTTTAATCCTTTTGATCAGAAAAATAAGAAATACAGACCAGATGTTATTTGCATGCTTGATTAAATACATCCATACTAAATGTATCATGGGTTGAAATTATCATGAAATATCACCTATTAATGTTGTTAATATAAAATAATTTAAATACTGCCATTTTGGGAATTTAAAGTGAACAATTTGTAAAGTTGTGTTCTTTTTCAAATGGCTTTAAGTTTTTTTTTTTAATGAAACTTTTCTCAAAAGAGACGAGAAAAAGAACAAATTGTTAATAACACTTCTGTCTGAAATATTCATCACAGATAATATATTATTACAATATTCAGGTGGAGAATATAAGCTTCTCTCCTATTTTCCAGTGGTATGGAGAGCAATTCTGCTGGATTTACTTATTATTTGCAGCAGTATTGCAGTTAAAGCTCACATTGGATCATGTAAGGTCCCAGTTCCTAAGTAAACTAGAGTGAGCTCTCTTCTGATATACCTGGATTTCTCCCCAGAAGGAAAACGTACCAAACTCTGGTTGAATTATTGTGGGATGTGCAACTACTCTTATAACTCCCTCTTTGAGCAGATGTTGCGTATCCTTTTGTTGTAGAATTTCCTCAGTTATAACTTTCTCATTCTGATCCTAATGCAAAGTCTTTGTTGTTCACTGACCACACTTAGCCCCTCTAGGGTAAGAGGACCAGAGTCCTATCTGGCAGGATTCTCATTTTTGTAAGAGTATTTTATGAGCTGCTGTTAATAAATGGGAAGGTTCACATCACTGTTTTGTTTTTTAAAAATATATTTTTATTTCAGAGAGGAAGGAAGAAGGAGAGAAAAATAGATACATCAATGATGAGAGAGTCATTGATTGGCTGCTTCTTGCACACCCCCTACTGGGATCGAGCCCACAAACCGTGCATGTGCCCTGACCTGGAATCTAACCATGATCTCCCAGGTCATAGGAAGGTGCTCAACCACTGAGCTACACTGGCTGGGCCATACAAGTATTTTAACAGTACTTTAAAATAGTAGGAAAGTGAGTATCTTATTTTGGCCTTTCCACAGAAAGGAAAATACAACTTCCAATTAAGTGAGTTGCAAAGACATTGCAGGAAGCAATCTCAGGGTTGGTAAGAGGGGCCAAGAATTTCCAGCTTCCGAAAAGATGGCTGCATTTCGTGAGCTGGTCCATCCACCAGGGAAAGCCAGTGTTGTACACATGTTCACATGCTCACTCTTTCTGCTTTCTTCAGGTGACCTCATTGCTTTCCTGCGGGAAGTGGCTGCTGCTGCCCCAGCACTGCCATTCTATTACTATCACATCCCTGCCTTGACAGGGGTAAAGAGTAAGTGCTGCTTCTTTCCATGTTGCACTCTTCCCTCCTCTCACACTCCTTCCTACCCACCCCATGTCATAAAAGCATAATGCTGTTGACTAGACAGTTCCAATTGCTTCAAAATAAGTCACTCTTACAAAAAATGAAATTGGCCCTTTTCAATCATTGACACCAGCTGATAATGGAAGTTAAGTATGGGAGAGGAGTTGGCCCCTGGGCACTCCCAGCAGACACCGTGTGTCTGTCACACACACGCCTCCTTCTTACACAGGAAGACAGCCGGAAGCCCCACTAAGACAGGACTGTATCCTACTGTATTCTCAGTGCCTGGCACATAGGAAGGTACTCTGACCTTTTCTTGCTTTGCCGCTAGCTTTCTTTGATTATTACTATGCTTGTCCCGTAGGAAGACTGTTACAATTAAATGAAATGTTTTATTTTTTGAATCCCATTTCTTTCTTTCTTAAACATAAAAATAGAAGTTGTTCTCTATAAATATCCATTGACAGTCTTCAAGAAATGGGAGACTTGGAGCTATCATTTGACAAATACATAGGACCTGCTAGGCGAGGGCTGGTGGCCATGTCAGACCTGCGGTCAATTAAGGCTGAGCAAAGCTCCTGGAAACTCAGTGCAGATGGGAAGGGCGACATAGGATGTTATTTGATATTTACTGGAGGCCTGAAGGTTCAGGAGGCGTTCACTGTTTTGAACAGTTCGTGTCGAGGAGCTGTTGGATGGGATCCAGGAGCAGATCCCCACCTTCCGAGGGGTGAAATTTAGCGACACGGATCTCTTAGACTTCGGACAGTGTGTCGATCAGTATCGCCAGCGACAGTTCGCTTTCCTTTTCGGAGTGGACGAGGTAAGTCACCCTTTGGCATATTTCGCAGGTTTGTTTGCCTCCAAAACAATGTATGGAGCTGCTTATACCGTAGCATCTTCTCTTTTCCATAAAAATAAATACCCTTTGTCTGTTTCTGATTAGCAACTGTTAAGTGCCCTGGTGATGGGAGCAACGGGAGCAGTGGGCAGGTAAGCAGGACCGATTTCCCCCAGTGGTTGGTTATCCACGTACAAATGTATAAATGTCAGGTCCCGCCACAGAGGCATTCATCCCCTAAGTAGGAATATTTCTTCACGCACACCTTTTCTATAGAAGTTGCCTCTCTCCCCCACAATCCTTCAGAGACAGGGAATTAAGTAGGACCCAGCAACTCCATCGTTATTAGGAGCCTCTGTGGCAGTGAGAGGACAGGCACAGGAGCTGAGAGCATGCACGGAATTTCTTGGTCAGAAATTATTTGGGCCGAAACCGGTTTGGCTCAGTGGATAGAGCGTCGGTCTGCCAACTGAAAGGTCCCAGGTTCGATTCCGGTCAAGGGCATGTACCTTGGTTGCGGGTACATCCCCCGTAGGGGGTGTGCAAGAGGCAGCTTGATCGATGTTTCTCTCTCATTGATGTTTCTAACTCTCTGTCCCTCTCTCTTTCTCTCTGTAAAAAATCAATAAAATATATTTTTTTAATATTTTTTTCTTTTTTATATAAAAGAAATTATTTGGTTACAAAAAACAGCAACCCATTCGAACTATCTTAAGGGAACTAAGGTGTTATTATAAAATACTAGGAAATTATATAAAACTCAAGAGGAGAGAGTATAGCCAGGTCTAAACACTTGAGAACCCAGAACTACAAAGCTCTCAACCAGCAAGGCAGCTCGTTCTCCATCTGCAGTCCTCTGAAGACGCTCCCCTCTGCATCTCTGCAAAACTCCTTAGTTCCTTCTCTTTTTCTCTCCAAATGGAGAAAATAAATGGGTTTTCTGTGCTTACACACACACACACACACACACACACACACACACACACATGGTCAATCGTGGCTGCCCAAATATGGCATCTCAGGATATCACTAGATAGTCAAGTAGGACCGCCGAAGGTCCTATCTAAACTACAGTAGGAAAGTAGAATCATGTGGCCCCATGCCTATTCAGGGAAGGCAGGCAATATGTTCAGTTAACTGCACACATTAAAACTAATTCGTTAGAAATGTGTCTGCAAGCAGATGGATGGAAATATTTGCGCTAACTGAAAGTGCCTTTCCTCCCTGCAGGAAAAGTACAGGGGAGGCAAAGTAATATTCACAATGTGTCTTGGTGGACATGGCCTTGACAAAGTAATTGAGGTAGATAGTCTTCCTGGCTTGTGAACAAGCCAGGATGGCCGGTATCCTCCATCATCCCTGTAGGGCCATTTCTACCAAGGAAACCTGAATGCCTGCATCTGCTGACCATGGAACGGTTTTCCCCCTGGAAATTGTGACTATTTTGACTCTTGTTTTTTGGGCTTGATATTAGACATTTTAATTCTGTCAACTTAATTTATAAGTAGAGTACATTTGCTTAGACTTCACGTCTTTTTCATTAGAATCACGTTCCTCTTCATCTGAGGACACACCTAAGACCTTTGGGATTTGAATGTATTATTCTGAACCTCCTTAGACATCCATGTACATATCGGGGCTTAGGAGTGTTTCGTACCTACAAGTGACTTTTCTCAGCTATGATATTTTATTTTTTTGTACTTTATTACCGGACAATAGTAGGAACTTCAAATTCTTGGAATTCCTTGATGTTGACTCTAGTGTATACATACATGAAGGACATTCTATTCTTGGTACATCAAGTTAAGCACATTTTCACATTTTCTGACTCTTCAAGACTTTGACAAAAGGGGAACATTGATTTGTCTTTATTGCTAGTTAGAGCTGTTTGTTTTTCTAAGTCCACAAAACCATTTTATCAGATCAAATAACTGTTGTTGTTGGATTATAACAGGGCAGCCTGAAGTGATGGAAACCTTGTGATAACTCTGTAGCGCTGCTGCTGCTGCTGCTGCTGCTTCTTCTTCTTCTTCTTCTTCTTCTTCTTCTTCTTCTTCTTCTTCTCCTTTTTTTTAACATGTTTTATTAATTTCTTTTTACAGAGAGGAAGAGAGAGGGATAGAGTTAGAAACATCGATGAGAAACATTGATCAGCTGCCTCTTGCACACCCCCTACTGGGGATGTGCCCTCAACCAAGGTACATGCCCTTGACCAGAATAGAACCTGGGACCTTTTCAGTCCGCAGGCTGACGCTCAATCCATTGAGCCAAACCGGTTTCGGCTCTGTAGCGCTTCCTGAGTCATAATTTCATTACCATGACATAGAATCCAAGCCTACCTTGCAGAGCTTAGAGAGGAGACATGATTTATGTCAAGCACCTAAAATATCATAGACACTTAACGGCCTCTCATTTTATTATTGTCATTTTCTAGAAACTGATCTCTAAATATATAAGTTGTCAAGGGATTTAGGTAATCCGTTGGGATTTGCCCCTTTTGCTGTGCAGCCTCCTTCATCCACTTCCTCAGCAGAAGGCTTTTAGGACTCCCATTTTACCTACACCTCTTATCATGTCCTGCGCCTCCATGGTTCCTTACTAAACACACCTCCATCTTCCTTTCTCCCCACCCCACCTTTATCTAATTTTGTCCTTTTCCACTTTTCTTCATTTTCTTTATTCATTTTGGGTGTTCTCTGCCTCCTCTTGGCACTGCTCAGTGCTGCCGGAAAACTTAGAACTGAAGACACCTGACCCTCTAGGTTAGGGCCTAAAAATAGGCTTTCTGGAAGCTCAGTATACTTGTGCCTTGCAAGCAGCAGTGAGGTTTGAAGATCTGGGCCTTTCCTGCGGAGTGATTGGTTCTACAGTACGTGCTGTTTTCTTTCAGTACCTATAACTACCTGGGACAGAAGACAAACCAGATGCTGGAGGCTTACGAACGGAAGGACCTCTCTTCAGCCCTGGATCATCAGGTTAACTATTTCTTTCCTTCACCCAAACCACAGCCCTTGTTCTTTCCCACCTGAGAATTCCTAGTCCTTCTCATCCTGCCATTCCTGCCCCTCGTTAAAATTGCCTTCCTGCCTCTCTCTTTCCTTTCCTTTTCTGTTCCTTACTTTTTTCTTGATGGAAATCAAACCTGTCCCCATTTGTTCGTGCTCCCCCACCTGTCTGATCAGGCCCCATGCAGAAATGACTCCTCTGTGTTCCTCCAAACAATGGCCTTATTTGTACTCTACGTCCAAGATATTTTTGTAGCTGCACAAGAATAGCAATAGATTTCTGGGGAAAGGACCACATGCCATCCCCTTGAGGACGTCACAGCTGTGGTCATCAGAAGCTGTGAAGCTGGTGGAGAAACTTAATTGGGGAGACTTAATTCAAAGTCAGAGCAGGTCAGTCCTCCTCAGCTTGGAAATGTGCTGAGAATGGAAAACGTTCACCAGGCAGGAAACAGGAGCCACACGCTTTGAAGCAGGGAAAGGAGAGCAGCAGGACCTCCTGGGTGATGGGGAGGAGCTCAGGGGACATGTGGCTGCCATGAATATCACACCAAGGATGGCCTACCTGTTTGGGGAACACAGAACCTTGCTGGGTGGAACCGGTCTCAGCAGTGTACGTCAGCACATGGAATGAGCTGGAAAGAAATAGAGTAAGCACAAGAGAAAGACTTTGGGAGGCCAAGAGGCACAGGGATTTTCAGGCTAATGAAAGGGACTGAGAGGACTATCCCAAGAGACCAAGTGGGAATGAAAGCATAAGCAAGATCAGAGCAGGTTGTCTGTGCTGAGCTCGAGCCAGCCCAAATCTACTTCCTACTTAAAGTTTCAATAGCTCATTTAAATATTTACCTTTGTTTAGCCCCAGACCAGGTGACGTTGAGAGCAGGAACAGGGTAGGGACTTAGGAAGTTATGCAACTAAATTAAATATTTGCAAGGCTTTGATTTAAATTACAATAAGTCTGAATTATGTGGACTCTGCCATCCCTTTGCGTTCACGGTTTTCTTTTTCCTTCGTTTCCTTGGAATGAGTTACTTCTGAACATTCCAACCTTTTCCGAGCTGAAAGACTGGGAAAGCACAGGATGGAGTAAGCTCTGAATCAGCTGAGATATGGACCCTTAGCGGTTCCTTTTTTCTGGCTGATCCAGTTTCTATCTCCTTTTCCCCCTCACTTCAGTTCCACTCAAATAAGCCATCCTACTCAAAACAGCATTGGTTAGGAAATCAGCTCACTGCATTATCTGTTTCTTCTTATGGAAGGCATGCGGGTCTCTCTCATCTACACATACGCCAAGGGCCATGTCCAGTGCTTAATTTCAAAAAAGCTCATCTCTGCCCTAAAGGAGTTTGCAATCGAGTGAAGAGGTGGGCAAGCAACAAATTAGGGCTAACCTTAGCCAATCTCATGAACTTAAATTCCATTTGTTATATTTACTCAGAGAAATGACATGTGTACAAAGATATTCCTACCAGTGTTATTTATAACTGCAATAAAGTGGAAACTTCCCAAATACCCATCTATAAGGAAGTAGTTAAATGTATTATGTTTGAGTTACAGGATCAAAATATATACAGCGATTTCAAAGGGTGAGATCATATATACAGATCTGGAAAGATCTCCATCGCACGTTAAGTGAAAAAAGTGGCAACATGCAGACTTGAGAATGTGATATGCTATGTAATAGTTTGGTGTGAGAGGGAGGCTCTGGATATCAAAATTGTATTCTGCTTTGAATGTTTTATTACTAATATACAATTGATGGAAACAGCATAAAAGTAAAATGTTACTGAAAATGCATTTCTTAGTGAGGTGGATGGGAGTCTTTTTTTTATTTTTTTATTTTTATAAATTCATGAAATCCTGGATGAATCTTACTTTCTGCTAAGACAAGTTCAAGGTCAGCATCAATACTATTTCTGGGTTTTATTTTTAAAGAATAAGCAACTATTGTTACTTATTCTGAAACCCTGTCCATCTAAATTACTAGATAAGAATGGAGGAAATTTTATCACAGTGCCACTCAATTCTGTCAGCTGATCACAGCAACACTGAAAGCAGTGTTGAAAGCAGAAACTGAAAACCTCTGACTTTTATAGAGGACTTGTTATCCATTATTCTTGTTATCACTTTATCGACGCCTATACCAACATTTTGATTTGCTTCCCAGAGCTGTCCCAGGGAAGTGATGTGGGAAGTATGTCTTTGTTTTTCCAAAAATGGGAGAATAAGAACTGTGAAAGGGGAAATATAAAAGGACAGCCCACACCTCCATTGTGTGTGAATTCTTATTTGGACCCATTTTAGAAATTAGCACTTAGAGAAGTTGAGGATCTAGAAACTGATTTCGATAAATCTTTGCCTTGGCCAGTTTCCCCTTAGGTATCTTGGAAAGATACACCCCAGAGGTTAGTGTATCCCCAGTTTGGAAACAATTGCTCTATCTGAGTAGTTCACCTAAGTGAGCTTGATGGGTTAAAAGACTGTCTTCCCTACTTTGACTCTCTCCTGCACAATTCTATCTTTGGAGCTTCCTATCTGTATGGGTCCATTTTACAACGCTTAAATGTATGGAGAGATCCTACCATATCCTGGACGGATCTCAGCCATCCTCACCTGGCTGTTTTTCTCGGCTCTGACAGACCTTCAGGAAACAAAGGTGTCTGGACTTTTGGGTTTGGGGTTTCTGTAACTTGACCTCTAAGGTCTTTAAATTGTTATCACGGTTCAGTAATACTGACTATAGATTTGTTTGTTCCTTTCCAGTTTTGTATTCAGAGATTTATCAACTTTGTGGTCAAACTAGGTAAGTTTCCTGCTTGTCTGCTCCTGGGGACTCTAAAGGAAATGGGCTTTCTCTGAGGGTTTCTGAGAAAGCAATATGATGCAAAAATACTTTTTAATGCTAATACCAATCTTCAGGGCCAACCTGATAAAGTGGTGAAGTAAACCTATTTGGAAGGCGTGGGCATCTTCCTCAAACCTCTCTCCTCTTTAGCACTTTGTTCACTTCCCTGCTCTACGTACACACACACACACACACCATTTTCTATTCCTTCTCCCCTGCACCATCAGCACTCCCTCCTTTTACTTGCCTGTGCTCATTAAAATTCCACTACACACTGTCAGCTGACTTCAGCCTAAGTGCTTGGAGGAAGGCAGTCTGAATATAGATCTTACTAAATTGTGAATGACTGACAGCTCTCCCGAGAGTATCTGCAACTTAAAAAGAGTTTATAAACACAACTCAGCTTAAATGGTTGGAGGATTGGATAATATGACGATGTAAAATCTGAGGGAAATACAGTAAGTTTGAGTAAAGAAACCTTCCCAGAGTCTCCTACATCTTATCCTATGATACATGACAGGTTGACAGGTGCCACCATTCACTCCACTTTTGCAAGAGACTGGCCCTTCCTGAGAACCTAAGTCTTTAAATTGTTATCAAGTTTAGGCTTATTCTTGGCAAACCTCCTACACCTCCCTTTCAGAGCCTTTCTGACTTACCCTAGCAACCCCTGCTGACCTTGAAGAACCTAGAATGTGTTATTTCCCTCATTCTCACCGGGTTTTTCATCTAGCTCTCTTAATCCTTCAAAGACAGTGTTTCCCATTTGCTTTACCACCTTCATTTTTGTCATATTTGTGTGCCACCAGTATTATTAAGGATCTATTGTTATTTCCTTGCCCTAAGTAGTACTTTTTTTTTTACAAAATTGTGGGTTTGGTATGATAGTTATATGTTCCTAAAGTGCATTGAAGTAAATATTGAACTATTGACTTTTTAAAGGAACTAAAAGTTTACCTATATATATGATTGTTTTGCATACCAGTAATGACAGGTTTACAATACACAGCTCTAAGATACTAGCTTGAAGGATTAACTTTGCCAGAATATTTGCATTTTAAAAGGGGACTCCTGAAGAGAGTTTTTATTGTGCTTCTTTTTTATTTATGAAGATAGTTTTTATATTCTAAAAAAGTATATCTTAAACAGCTCATTTCAGACTTTCTTGGGAGCTGGAGTTGAGTTTTCATGGTTTAGTCAAAGAGAAACTTAGCTTAATAAACATGTAGTCCAAAAAATAAAATAAAATAAAATAAAATAAAATAAAATAAAATAAAATAAAAAATAAACATGTAGTCCTATCATGAAGGTAGCGCCCTATTTATTCATAATAAACACGGGTCATTTTGCACTCATCAAACTATATGCTATTTATTTAGTCATTCTAGTAGGTATTTTCCTTCTTAATGCCGAATTGTTACTGTAACTAAGTTAATTTAGCAAAAAGAAGTTATTTCTAATACCATGGATCCAAAAGCAATACCAGTTAAGAAAACAAATATTGCCAAAACTGGTTTGGCTCAGTGGACAGAGCGTTGGTCTGCGGACTGAAAGGTCCCAGGTTCGATTCCGACCAAGGGCTGTACATTGGTTGTGGGCACATCCTCGGTGGGAGGTGTGCAGGAGGCAGCTGATCGATGTTTCTCTCTCATCAATGTTTTTAGCTCTCTATCCCTCTCCCTTCCTCTCTGTAAAAAAAGCAATAAAATATATATTTTTAAAAGAAAACAAATATCTTTTTCTCTTTTCTGGGTCATTCCCTGAAATCTACCTTCAAAATCACTAATTCTATCTTTAGCTATATTTAGTTTCACTGATTATATATTTTTCATTTCCAGTATTTCTTTTAGGCTGTTGTTGTTTTCAAGTCTTCCTATTCTTTATTTCTATGCCCCTTTCTTAGCCCAGGGTTTCTACTTTTTTTTTTTTTTTTTTTTTTTTTTACCTCTGAGAAGACTCCTTTAGAGTTTTGTATCAGTTCGCAGGACGTGAAATTTGCTAATTGTGCATTTGCTGGTTTGATGCAGCTTCTTTTTCCTCCTGTTCTCTGTCATTTTTAACTGAATGCATCTTCAGAGTCTCTTGCTTTCTGGGCAATCCACTGTGCTCCAGGTTGTGAGGTGTCCTATCAAGCTTCTACTGGGACTCGTAATTTCACCTGTTTTAACCAGTCTTTAGGTTATTTCCTAGTCTGGTTCCTACATCAAGTGCATAATGCAAATATGGATCTACCATTCATGTATGGCACGGGCTCGGGACTTCTTTCATGTGATCATTTTTCATCCACAGCCCAGGCAGAAGTCAAGAGCTGGGCCTCCATCCCTAAGTCCATGGGCTGGTTTTTTTTTTTTTTTCCCCCTCTTCCTTTTCATAGAAGCTGGCTACCAGTTTTACACAAGGAATTTGAGTCCAGCTCCTTGCTATGCACGGACCCAAGGCTTCCTCTTGCTTTCCTGCCCCAGCTTTATCACACCAGCCCAGAACAGCAGCATTGAGTCACAAACCACCTTAAATAGTGCATTTCTCAGGGACTTCTTAGACATGCTTGAACTATAAATTCTGTCCTAGCAATGAGGTCCTCTATCATTTGATCGACAACACTATACCCCTGAATCAGATTATTCTCATGGACCATTCCGCTTCAGCTCTTCAGTACTCTGACCTCTTTTATTCCTGATAACTTTGGTGCCTCCTTTTTGCTTTTGAGGTTAACTTTAGTCTTATTTCCTTTATTTTTTATAGCTTGTCAGTTTGTTTAAAACATCCCCCAACCCCAGCATTCCTATGTATTTGAAACAGGAAGAGGGACTGACTCCCTGTCTTCTCAGTCTTCCTCAGTGACTAGAAACATTCCCATCTTTTAGCTCACCCTATGCTGTTCGTAGAAGTCACTGTAAGAATGTGATCTCTTCTTGGGGGTGTTTGTGGTGGAGTGGACAGTCCCGGTCACATTCCCTCCTTTATTTTTTCTGTATAGGTTTCGGAGTGTCACAGAACAAAGCCATCATGACTCTGGTGTCTGGGATTCCAATGGGCCCACCCCGGCTCCCACTGCAGAGAGCCTCCAAGGAGTTTATTGATAAGGCAGAAGCTAAACTGAAGAGTCTGGGTTTCCTTTCTTTTAGGGATTTAAAGGATGGAAACTTGGAAACCTCTAGCTAATGCCACTCTATCAAGTCAGGGTGTGTACTTTGGGATATAATCCACCTTGAAGAGTGCATTCATTTCTCAAGGACTTTATAGACAAGCTTGAACTACAAATGAAATCTCCCATCAAATCGAGTATTTAAGTACCTACTATGATCTTTAAAAAGTTTTATTTTTCTGAAGGGACAAAAACTCCAAGAGCCATGAGCCCTGAGTCATCCAATACTGCACAAAATTTTCATTGAGAAATTTCTGCTTGTATGGATGAAATGGAATCAAGATAGAAATTATAATTAATTCCCTCTGCCTTTGGGAGCTCCCATTATCTTGATTTCTGGTTCTCAATCCTATCTTCAAGTTTTCTAATTTGAAACCACTTGTAATGTACTTTCATGTTAATAAATATTCATTTGGAATCTAGAAAAATGCTGAGCTACCTTGAATGCCAAATTACAACACGACTCAACAAATGCACAGCTATTAGCACACCAGCTTCATTGGCTGCTCAGCATGACTCTAGAACACCTGCTTTCAGGTTAATTGTGATGTCATGGGTTTTCTCCAAAAAGACTGGGTTAGGTGGCCACCACAAACTTCCCCTTTTTCCCCCGAGAAAAAGTAAAAAATCCTATATCCTTATATAAATGTATGAGTATCAGCAAAATGCTCAAATTTATTCCTGCTTGGGGAAATTAAGCCCCACTCCTTAATAGGGAATCATAACAGCCAATGTGAATATGTTTCAATGGCCACAAAAGTAAGAAGCAAGCCAAAGTGTGAACTAATGTTAAAGTAATTTCTATAAAATAAAGGCAGAGAAAACAAAGATAACTATAAAAATAAAGCAAAGCAAGTTACAAAGTCCAATAAATGAGTAAATTTCTGTAGAGAAAGTCACAGGGCTTGTAGATAAATGTTTCAGTAGGAACTGGTACAGTGGATACAAAAAAGTAATATCCGTGAATGACCTCCATTGTCATGCTTGCTTATAAAAAAATGAATAGAATTATGCTAGACATAAGCACAATGAAGTGGAGGTTATTATTATTAGTTTTTGTAGCTATTCAAGCAATTCAGTGTATGTTCTTTATACAACTGAGAATATGATATTACTGCTAAACCTTTTAACTAATAGCAAAATAATAACATATGCACAGCAAGCCATAAAAAAAAGAATCCTATATAATAAGTAGGTAATATGCAAATTGACCATCACACCCTCACACAAGATGACTGCCCCATGTGGTCACAGTATGGCTGACAGGATAACTGGCAGTTGTGGGAAATCAGGCCAGTTGGGTAGGGCATTTGGGGGCAACCAAGGCTGGCAGGGGAGAGTAGTTAGGGGTGACCAGGCTGGTAGGGGGTTATTTAAGGAGTGATCAGGCTGGCAGGCAGAAGTGGTTAGGGGCTAAATTAAGAACCAACTCAATAATAAAAATTTCCATAATCCTTGGAAGCCAAAGTTTCACCTCTGAAAGTTTTGTTTAGGTGGGTTAGGTGGCCATCACAAACTTAATGTTGTTGTGTTCCGCATCTAATTGAAAACACTTGCAATCCATTTATGATAGTTGAATTTCCCTTATCATAAACATCAGGCACTTGAGGCTGTAAACATCCTGAAAGGTACAAAGAAAAAATAATGCCTTTTCCTGAATGATGTTACCCTTAATTGAAGAGAACAATACATGGAGAATATAAAAGAATGAATAAATATTCAATTGTTATTCCAATTGTAAGAGCAACAAGAGTTTTAAAACAATTGATCACTATGAGCTAGGAGTGTTAAGGAAAAAAAGTAATAAAAGAGGTGAAAAATACAGTGTACCATTTAATGGGCCCAGATAAATCAATTTAGTCAGGATTCTCTGGAACAACCCTTATATGAAATATTTTGTATTTTGTTGGCCCCCTTAGGAAGCACCATAGTTGAAAATTTAACAGTGACTAGTTACAGTAGTTCAGGAGATAAAGCATTCCAAAGATTCTGAAGACAAAAGGATCTCTACGGCAAGCCAGAACAATCTTGAAGGATGTTATCTATTTATTAAACTAGTTTTTACTGAGCTCTTTTTTTTTAATATATATTTTATTGATTTTTTACAGAGAGGAAGGGAGAGGGATAGAGAGCCAGAAACATTGATGAGAGAGAAACATCGCCAGCCACCTCCTGTACACTCCCCACCGGGGTTGTGCCCACAACCAAGGCTCATGCCCTTGACCGGAATCGAACCTGGGACCCTTCAGTACACAGGCCAATGCTCTATCCACTGAGCCAAACCGGTTTCGGCTTTACTGAGCTCTTAATGCAGTGTGTCCAGCACTGCGGCAAGTGGCCTGAGCTAGCCAAGCAAGGTCCCTGCCTTCACTGAGCTCATTTCTTTTTCAGGAGACGGCCGCGTAACAGTGTCTGAATCACAACAACAATAACATTCTTGAACACCTATTACCTGCCAAATACTGAGCTAAACGTCTCTCATGTCCCCTCTCACTTAATCATCACAACAACCCCACTAAGTCAGCACCTAAGGTTTCCAGTACAGTCTTCGAAGGGCACCTCATCTCCTCGAGTTCCCAGTGACAAAAACTGTGAAACATTTTGCTGCATCAAAACGATATAAGATGCTGAAACCGGTTTGGCTCAGTGGATAGAGCCTCGGCCTGCGGAAGAAAGGTCCAGGGTTCGATTCCGGTCAAGGGCACATGGTCGATCTTTCTTTCTCATCGATGTTTCTAACTCTCTATCCCTCTCAATTCCTCTTTGTGTAAAATCAATAAAATATATTATTAAAAAAAAAAAAAAAACCATACAAGACTCCTACTCCCCAAAACGTTCAAAGGTAGGCCCGCAGCACTATCGGAAGCGACCCTAGAGGCGCAGCGGATCTCCTAGGCGACGGGATGCTCAGGCCCCGCCTCTTCCGGGCGGCGTCCGCGGCGCCTCGCTCGCTTTTTTCTGCGCCTGCGTGAACGCACTGGCCACGCCCCCCGTCATCGCCTCAGGAGCCATTTCGCCGGCGCCTCAGTGCGAGCGGCTTGCGGTTCGTTCGTCTGGTGTCTCCGAGAGCGGCCGGATCCGCGGACCGTCCTGAGAGGGCTGTGCTCTCGGGCACCAGGCAGCGGAGGCCGGTAAGGAAGAGGCGTCGTGGCCGCCCGTTGTGGCGGGCGGCGTGGGGCCCCGCCGCTCTGCAGCCGGGCTTTGTTGCGAAGCGCGGGCCGCGGTGGCGGGTGGGGGAAGGGCGAGCCGCCGCGCCGCGTGCAGGGTTGCGGGGTGCGTGCTACTCGCCCCACCGCGCTTGCGCAGCCCAGGGTGCGTTTTAGCCCCGGGCCTTTTGCCCGCTAATCCCAGTCCTGCCTCCCTAGCAGCGCAAACAAACCCCGCTTCCTCCTCCGGCCGCGCTGGGGCGTTGTCCGGCCCCATCGAAAGGGGGACCGTTGTGTTGGGGGGACGAACCCGCCTGACTCCACACACACCCAAGGCCATTCCGTCATTCCTTTGTGCTGCAAACGCGGCGCAGTCCCGCAGGCCGTGTGAATGGAGCCCTGAACATGTTAGGCACAGTCCTGCCCCTCACCGAGGTGGCGGGGCGGATTGGGGGAGGGGGCCGTAGGGGGACTGAGGCGGGAGGGGAGATAAACGTCTGCTGGTTTCGATAAAAAGACATCGTGTGACCGGGCAAACATTGGGTCCCTGCTGCCTGCCACTACTCGAGCCAATATAAGCAGAGACAGGTTAAATCATGCGTGAGCATTTATCCCAATATTGCTGGCCACAACAATCTGCTCTTGCAGCCCCCAATAAGCCAGCTGCTTACATGCGTAGAACTACCAAGGGAAGGTAGGCAAAAGAGCAGTTTATGGACACGCAAAAGGACTAAGGTGTCTGCCAAGGGCTTGGTGATATGCAAGGGCTGGAGTTACATGGGGAGATGGCCAAGGGGAATGCCGGGTGGGTAATTAACTGGTAAGCAGGCTGGAGGTTTGCAAAGGCCTGCAGGTATGCAAAAGAGCGCTGGGGGACCTTCCAAAAGCTGGCATAGTAGTTAATCTTTCCATGATAATGGGCAGCTCCAAATGGGGTGGAAGGGCTGCATCTCCAGGTCCGCTCAGAATAAAACAGTCATGGTTGACAGCATGGCAGATATTTCTTACAATACTAGCTGGTTCCCCAACATTCTATTTCTGCCTCCTTTCAACGTGAGAAATTAAATAGTGTAAAGGTAGAGAGAGCTGCATAGGGTGGATAGGGAAAGCATTCTGGAGGAAAGAGATCTTTGAACCGAGGGACATGGCTCATTAGCCTTGAGGACAAGGAAAAGCAGAACTGCAGAGGTAGCGGCGATTAGTGAGCCCGTAAGGGAAGAAACTGAAAAGGTCCTGTGACTGCTGGTGTGGTGAGAGATTGATTTATTTGTTTATTTTATAGTCTAAAGTTTTATAAGTCTCTTTCCCCAATTGACCCCACCACCACCATTTCCACGCCGGGCAAGCCCCCACTGATCCAATGTCGGTGTCCATTGGTTATGCTAATATGCATGCTTACAAGTCCTTTGATTGCTCCCTACCCACCCTCCCTCCCCTGCCCTTTGTCCCTGGGTCTATTTTTGTTCATCACATTATGATGATCAGCCCTGACCGGTATAGGGGAGGATAGTTGTATAGTGGATAGAGCGTTGGCCTGCGGACTCAAGGGTCCCAGGTTCAATTCCGGTCAAAAGTATGTACCTTGGTTGCAGGCACATACCCAGTTGGGAGTGTGTAGGAGGCAGCTGATCAGTGTTTCTCTCTCATAGATGTTTCTAACTATCCTCTCCCTTCCTCTCTGTAAAAAATCAATAAACTATATATTTTTAAAAATATTATAATCATATCCCATATATGAGTGATATTTTTCTTCAACTGGCTTATTTCGCTTAACATAATGCTCTCCAGTTCTATCCATGCTGTTGCAAATGGTAAAAGTTCCTTCTTTTTTTTTTTTTTAATTTGTTCAATTTTATCTTTAAATATATATT